TTTTTATTTTTTGTGGCAAATATACATAACATACAAGTTAATCATTTTTAGGTGTGCAATTCATTAAGTACATTTTCAGTGTTGTGCCACCTTCACCATTATCTATTTCTAACACTCTTTCATCATCCCCAAAGAAATTGTATCAATTAAACAGTAACATTAGGGAACTTATGTTTGGAATCTCTTCAAATGGAACCTGATATATAACACATAAAACTATTTCAGCTTTGATTTGTTTTCAAGTTGTGTTCTATAATTTTCATAATTGTCACTGGTTGTTAGTATTAATTTGTGAAAGGCTTTCTTAAAATTGCACATGTAGGTATTTTAAAAATATATGTTTTCCTATTATGTATACAATTTTTATGTATTACATATAATTTGAAGTTGAAAATATACATATTTACATACTGTAAAATTTAACTAACTTATTATTTTAGGAAACTCAAGAATACACCCGAAATGTTGTTAGATATTGCCTTGAAGCTCTTCAAGATTGGTTTGATGCTATTAACTTCGTAGATGAGGTATGTATATTTTTGGTATGTATCGAGGCACTTAAGAAAAAAAGTGTTAGATCTCATTTAACACTAAAAATAATATGGGGTAAGGGAAAGATGTTGAAATGAACATAGTATCCTTAGGTTTAAAAAAAGAAATGGGAGATCAGTCCTTTGACATTTAGGAGATTGAGGAGTGCACTGATCATACTTGCTTATTTCCTAGAGAAGGGCATGATTTCTTTTTCTATTATTAAATGTACATGTCTCCATATTTCTCAGGAGTGAAAATTAGTTTTATGTAGAGGGGTAAAAGTGACAGTGCAAATGTGAATAGGGTGGGGGACATTAAGGGAAAGGGTGTTACAACTTTATTAATTGGTCAGTGTTCTTCTGTGGGCTTGAACAAAGGTGATCGTTATTAATAATAAACTGAGAAGAGTTGGCACGGAACATACTCTGTATGAATTAAACAAGGGTTTGCTTGTAATTAGCCAAGTTTCCTATCAGAAGCCCCTTTTATTTCTCTTATGAAGTGAGTTCAGAATATGCCATATGCGTAAGGAAGACCATGTTTCAGACAACTCCAGCTCCCCCATCTGATTTCTAAATCCTGGGCAGAATAGAACTCTTGCTATCTTTGTGTGTGTGTGTATGTGTGTGTGTGTGTGTGTGTGTGTGTGTGTGTGTGTGTGTGTGTGTGTCAGGGGGGTAGGGTGGGGGTATTTTTCTTTTTCTTTGCTTTTTTAAAAAAAAATTTTGATATAGTCACAGACTTATTGAAAAGTTGGAGTGGAGTACAAAGAACTTTGTTTTCTTGAACCATTTGACAGTTAAGTTGTTGACTTGATGCCCTTTATGCCCAAATACTTTAGTGTGTATTTCCAACAAACAAGGACATTTCTCTTATATAACCAGATAAAACTGTAAATATTAGGAAATTAACATTAATATATTATTACTGTTTAAGTGTTAGAACTCATTCATGTTTTATAAATTGTCCAGTGTTGTCCTTTATAGCAAAAGGATCCCATTCTGAATCTCACATTGCATCTAGTCATCATGTCTCTAGTCTCCTTCTGGAGCAGTTTCTCATTCTGTCTTTGCCTTGAAGGATAGTAACATTTTCAAGAGTATGGTTGGCTCAGTTATTTTGTAGAACCTCTCTCGGTCTGGGTTTGTCCCATGATTAGATTCAAATTGTTTCTCCACAGAACCCCTCCTCCTTTCAACCTTCTTTACTTCTTTGCCCCTCTAGGATTAGTTGGGCAGCTGGAGCATCTTTCAATACAGTTCTCATTGTTATTTGAAACTTTAGGAAGTATGTTGAAATAGTAGCATCACTAAGATAACACCTTGATTGAAGGAGGGGAAAACTCTTACACATAGAGGGTTATGAAGTACTTTAACATGAAATTAATAGTTGAGCTCAGGGGTGGAGTTAAGGACAGTTAGAATCATGTAAGGTATGTAGGGCAGCTGAACTTAAGGAAATAGTACATTTGTTTTTCACATAAGTATTTTAGGAATATGTTGAATATTATAAAGAATTTAAATAGATTTTTAATAGAAGACAGAATAAGTTCAGAACTTAAGGAATCACATAGAATGGTATGTTTTTAATGGTGTTTTCGAAGGTTTTTGTTTCTTAAAAGTGCTTTGACAGATTTGTTCCTCAAAACAACCCTGTGAAGTAGAGAAGGTATTATCTTCCTCTTTTTTTTTTTTTTTTTTTTTTTTTTTTTTTTTTTTGGTAGATGTAAAATGGAGATGCAAAGATAGTAAATCACTTGCCTGTAGTTACATAAGAAATTACTGGTAGTTCTCAGTCTAGAACCCACATCTCTCAACTCCTTGTCTGGTAGTATTTCAGTGATGCTGACTATTGGCAGTGGAAAGAGCTATGGGTCAGACAGGCCAAAGTGTAAATTGTGGCTCAGCCACAAACCAATGAGCTATGTGATCCTAGATAGGTTTTTAAAAATTATTTTTAATTTTTTTTACATTGCAAAATCCATCTCCTCATCTGTTTATTGAAGATAATATTAGTAGTCAATGAGGATTGAATAAGAGGCACATTTTACATTTGTGATAAATATTTCTTTTACCATCCTTGTTGGTGGATGTCAGAAGTTATTGGGGTAATATAGCACAGATTAAATAAATACTTTTTGAACTGAATTAAGTCAGATCAGTCATATAGAAACAAGGGATAGGGGGTGCCTGGGCGGCTCAGTTGGTTAAGCATCCATCTCTTGATTTTGGCTCAGGTCATGATCTCACAGTTCATGGGTTCGAGCCCCATGTTGGGCTCTGCAGTGACAGTGTGATATCTCCTTGGGATTCTCTGTTTCCCTCTCTCTCTGCCCTTCCCCAAATCATGCTCATGCTTGTGCTCTTTCTCTCACTAGAATGCCAGTTCTTTGATATATACTGTACTAAGCTTTCTTATGGAGGCTGTGTTTTCAGTGCTGATATGGGGAGCATCTCACCCAGCTTGTGAAGGCACATAGGCCCTTCACTTGTACGTCACTTTTAGGACTGTGATAGAACCTCTTACCACTCTGAATATAACAGTGGAGTCCAGACTGGCTCTTCAGTTCACTATTTGTTAACTGTAGGAAGTTATTTAAGTTTCCAAGTTTGAATTTCCTTACTTATAAAATGAGAACATTAATAGTTTCTACTCCCTGGGGTTTTTCTGAGGATTAAATGAGGTAATGTGAATATGGTCAGCTGTGATTATTGTTCTTACTACTGTCATCATGTTTGGTATGCATGCATTTGAAGATTCCCAAATAGGCTAATTGTAAAAGGAAATCTGTTCCATCCCTTGTTCAATGCTGGATGCTTCAGAGGATTCAGAGTTGAGTAGTATGTAGTTTCTGCCTTCAGAAACTTGCATTTAGGTGTGTAAAATGGAATTAATTTTATCTTTTATCTATACAGGATTTTTTTTTAAAGCTATATCTTCTAAAATTTTAAGTTCTGGTTAAAAAGGTTCAGGAATAAATCAAGGTGAAGTGTGGTTTTAGCATTTTGAAACCTTCTTTGAACTTGTATAAAACATGCTTCAACTTGTGGATTTTGTTTGTTTATTCTAGCCAGCACCTAACCAAGTCACTTTTCATCTGCCCCTTCATCGTTACTATGCTATGTTTTTGAGTAAGGTAAGACTATCATTAAGCAATTCTGGTATTTTTTTTTTTAATATTGGGAAATAAGTATTGAATTAGTAACTTGTTTTTTTTCAAAATTTTTAGGCTGTGAAATGTCAAGAACTAGATTTGGATTCTGTTTTACCTGATCAGGAAATGTTAATGAAACTAATGATTCACCCACTCCAAATTCAAGTATGTATTCAAGGTTTAAAAAGTTCTAAATTGAGGGACTCCTGGGTGGCTCAGTTGGTTAAGTGTCTGACTTCAGCTCAGGTCATGATCTCCTTGTGGGTTCGAGCACCACATTGGGCTCTGTGCTGACAGCTCAGAGCCTGGATCCTGCTTCAGATTCTGTGTCTCCCTCTCTCTCTGCCCCTCCCCGCTCACACTGTGTCTCTCTCTCAAAAATAAACATTAAAAAAAAAAAAAGTTTTGAATTGAATTCCTCAGTTAAGTGATTCTTCTTTATTTTGTTTTTATGTTTTACATTGTTGTTATAGCCAAAATGTTTGAAAAGCTTTTTTTTTTTATACTTGGTTATTTTTGCCAGATTATATTTTGGTGTTTTTTGTTCTGTGAGATTTACAATGAGTTTTAATTTCCCCAGAAATTCTTTTCACCATATTTTAGGGAAGTTTTTAACATACTATGGCATTGTTTTGAGAGGAGATGCAAAAGAGTTCTAGCATTAGTGCTATTTCTATTTTACTAAAACCATGTTGTTTGAGGTAACTTAGCTACTTGATTCTTAGTTTCCGAATCTGGAAAATGAGAGGAGAGAAAAGAGAGAAGAATATTTCTGCATAAACACCATGGTTTCTTTCAGTTCTAATACTACAATTTTATGGGCCAATCTTTTATATACAGTACAGGGACGTGTGCTTCAATTTATTTTTCCTGGAAATTTTAGATTTATTAAGTATTATTGAACTTTAACACTGGGCGTTAGGAACAAGTAAGAGATGAAGTTGATACAGGACACAAATTCATGAAGAATTAAACATTAAAAAAAAAATTTGTTCTAATCTGACCTTCTCTTACCTGCCAGTTACTTGAAAGATTACTAATTTAGGGGGCGCCTGGGTGGCGCAGTCGGTTAAGCGGCCCATTTCAGCTAGTCACGCATCTCATGTCCGTGAGTTCGAGTCCCCTGCTGCTCAGTCTCTGGGTTGATGGCCTAGAGCCTGGAGCCTGCCGATTCTGTGTTCCCTCTCTCTGCCCCTCCCTCTGCTCATGCTCTGTCTCTCTCTGTCCCAAAAATAAATAAATGTTGAAAAAAAAATTAAAAAAAAAAAAAAAAAAAGAAAGATTACTAATTTAGGTTGAAGGTTGAGTTAGGGTACATTAAAGATATAGATTATATTTATTTATTGGAGCAATTAACTTTGTTTTATGCTTATTTATGCTTATTTGTATGTTTCTTTAAGCATATGTAAGTTTTTTTTCTTGAGAAACAAAGAGTTAAATATAAATGTCATTGATTCCTCATGAAAGATTTCATTTAAAATTGTTATAAATGTATCCAGGCATCATCATACTAACTCATGTATAAACTCCAAAAGAAGGGATTGTATAAAGCATAATGATCACTTAAAAATTTCAACGTATGTATTTGAATAGAATATTTTAAACTAACATGGGGCAGAATGTCAGGCTTATTCTATGATTAAGTTACAAAATACTTTGAACTGATTATTCAGTATAACATGATTTTTATAAAGATTGAATTTAGAACACTTCTTTGTCCAGTTTACTTAATTTTTATTTTACTAGGCAAGTCTTGCTGAAATCCACAGCAATATGTGGGTAAGAAATGGTCTACAAATCAAAGGACAAGCTATGACCTATGTCCAGTCTCATTTCTGTAATTCCATGATTGACCCTGACATTTACTTACTGCAGGTAAGCCAGTTTGATAATGCAGATATTATACTTTAGAAGTTTCTCATTTGTACCTGCAGCAGTTAGTTGATAGAGGTGACTCGATGACATGAAGAGGTCATTGCTATTGAAAGAATTTACTACTTAAATTTTCCAGGAGAAGGGGACATGCCATGCCACAGCAGAACCACAGGAAGCATTAGACTTTGGTCAAGGGGCAGGAACAAGGGGGAAATCCTAGAGCAGGACCTTTTGGGGGTTATCCACAGAAAGGGCAAGGCAAGGCAGGGGAAGCAGTTGAGAATTGGCTAATTTGAATAGATTCTGGTGGGCTTTGGGGCTTTGGGGCTGTCCCCAGCTACCTGGCCATGGGTTGTTTCAGGGCAGGGAGAATATTGGCTTGGTGTGTGAGAGTTAGATAAAGGGGGGTGATTGACTTATCTGTAAGAGGCTTGTCCCCAGGAAGTTGTTTACTGTTTTTAGGAATATATTTAGGAATGTTTCTTGTCTTTAGCTAGCCCAGAGAGGGGTGGTCTCTCCCCCTGTCTGTAAGTGCCCCCCACATTGTCAAAATGTCATAAGACATAGGAAACTAACAAACCACATGATTAATACAAGAAGTAAAACTGAATATTGAGAGATAAAGTTTCTGGGTTTTTTTGTTTTTTGTTTTTTTGTCTTTTAAAGGTTTGTGCTTCTAGACTTGACCCAGATTATTTTATTTCATCTGTCTTTGAAAGGTGAGCATAATTTTATCAAGACAGGTATTAGGAAGTATTTGGAATTTAAGTTGATTTTGTTTTAACTTAAAAAAAATCTGTCTCAAATATTTCTTATTATAGATTTAAGGTAGTGGATTTGTTGACAATGGCTTCACAACATCAAAACACAGTACTTGATGCAGAGCATGAGAGATCGATGTTAGAAGGCGCTCTTACATTTCTTGTGATTCTTTTAAGTCTTCGTTTACATTTAGGTAAAAAGCACTCCTACTAATGCTTGGGTATTAAGTATTCTCTCTTTCCTCCCCTCTCCCTGTGGTAGTAACTGGCTTATGGAAAAAAGAAAAGGATTTGGATATATTTAAATACTGTTTCAAACTCTTGACATGTGCAATTGCTACTCCTTTCATAGTATCCTTTAAAAAAACCCTTTACTTAAGGGAGCTGCAAACAGCAGGTTAGTTAAACTGGTTATATTTGGGGCATTGCATTCTTTGCTCTTTAATTTTTGAAGCATCTCATTTTTAGTAAAACAGCTTAATAAAAAGTGTGGTAAGTTGTTTTTTTTTTTGGAATTTACATATATTCAGATTAACTAATTTCCTTTTTAATTGTTTTAGGAATGTCTGACGATGAGATACTCAGGGCAGAGATGGTAGCCCAGTTGTGCATGAATGACAGGACACACAGTTCATTGCTGGACCTCATATCCTTTTAAAAGCTTAAGTTTCTGTTAATTATAGAGTCTAAATGATAAGTAATTTTTATGGGTTAAAGATACATCACTTTTGTGATTAAAAAATATTTTTGGAGTTGAAAAAAACCTTTAACTGCTCAAGTGTGTGTCCAGGGCTAGTTGGCAGATATTTTTGCCTCTCTCTGTCACTGCTCAGGGAGCTCTTGTTAGCCGTGGTTACACTTCAGAACTGATGGCTCTGGGCAACCCAGGATCTGACCTTCTAGGACCGTGTTCGTGAAAGGAAGCTGGACACTTGGTAAAAGGCAGCAAAGTCTACGTTATCTGTATATCTAGGTTGGAATTCATGGTTAAAATGTATAGGTTTACCTTATAATTATTACCAGGGTTTTAAACATTTTAAGAATTTTTTTCTTAGAATTCAATCTTAAACCAAGAAGTTTTTGAGGGGAAAGACTATCGTCTATAAACTTTAAAAACTTATGGTTCTTTGTATAGGACAGAGCATACAACAGACGCTTTATTATTTTTTAAGTTGTTAATAAAATTTTAGACAAAGATTTTGTTATGTTGTGATAAAAATTTATTTTATAAATTTTGGACTAAGTTTACTTTGTATATTATGAATACGTTTGGAATAATTGGCTGACATTTTGTGAAATAACTCCTGTGGAATGCCATTTGATAACCTTGAAGATTGTCATAAGCAGCAGCAATTTGATATTGTTTGATGATTTCATTCAACTATTATATAATGTGTATCAATGCTGTAACAGCAGAGGCATTCCTCTGTAACTTTGAATTTTGAAAAGTTAATTGATTAATGTGAAATCAGTGAGAAAGGATCTTTGTGGTTTCCTGGCTTACTTCTTTATAAAACTTTGTTTAGCATCTTTTTTCTCTCTCTTTTTTTTTTTTTTTTTTTTTTTTTTTTTTTTTTTTTTTTTTTTTTTTGGAGGATGGCATTTTGTTTTTGGAAAAATAATCTTTGCTCATAAAAATATTGGCTAATTTTTAGCATACTGTTTTTGATTCTGTAAGGGAGAATATAACATTATTTGTAAAATGATGAAAACGGAGGTGCGCCTGGGTGGCTCAGTAGCTTGAGCCTCCGACTCTTGATTTTGACTCAGGTCATGATTCCAGTGTTGTGGCATCGAGCCCCGTGTCAAGCTCTGTGCTGAACATGGAGCCTACTTAAGATTCCCTCTCTCCCTGGGCTCCTCTCGTGTGCTCGCTCTCTGAAAACAAAAAAGAAAAAAAAAAGAATGGAGATTAATTTTATAAACTTTTTTTTTTCATTTCTTAAAATTTGGTTAATTTGTTTTGGGGAGAAATAAACTTGGGAACTACTTTAGCATATAAGCTAGAAGTAGGCTTGTAGTTAAAAATATTTTAAAAGTTCACAATTAATAAAAAGTTACTGAACTCTTGTATTATATAGCCCTCTTGTGGCCAGTATTACATATTACAGCCAATTACTCAACAAAAATAGTTAGAAACTAGAGTACCTTGGTAATTTTATAAAGCTGGCTTTTAGGCATTAATTTTTTTCTTGACACATACATCATATTCCAGAAAATCCAAATCCCAAAAGTGGTATTATTCCAGGCAGTTACAGCTTTGAATCAGTTTTATCAGCTGTAGCTGACTTTAAGGCTCCTGTTTTTGAACCTGGAGGTTCTATGCAGCAAGGCATGTATACTCCTAAAGGTACGTTTATATACATAAATATATTTTTTCAGAAATGGTTTTCTGAAGGTAAGTTGTGTACGTAAAGAAAACATTTTGCTTTTTATTTATTTGTCTTTGAGTTATTCCTCAATTTTCTTATAGATGTGTGTTTGTTTTTTTATGGTATATGGTGATATTGCTTCTATTTATTTACAAATCTATGGTTTTATGTTACAGGAAACCTTCTTAGATGACTCTGAATTAGAAAAGGAACTTTATATATGAATTCTAGTTCATTTTTATACATGAATGAGCTGTAAATGAACCAGAAATTATAAAACAATGTATATTAAAATTTTTTTTAAATCTATTTATTCTCTAAGTTTGATTTTGAAATAGTTCTCACTACCCAAAATTTAACTTGAAACAGTTAAAATTAAAATCCAGATACGACACTGATTACATTTTCCTACATCCTATGTAAATACATAAAATCTTTTCCTTAAGTGGTTGGTTTTCCAAGGTTTTCTCCTTAGCTTCATAGATGACATGCTTGCCAAGCGCCACAAGTAGTGAAGTCTTCGTTCACAGTCTTGTCCTTTTCGCTTTCACATGTTCACTAATCTAAGTTAAAAGTTTGAAGGAAGTACCACTTACATGCTTCTTGACTTCCTCAATACTCATTGTCTAGCTGAAAAACTGATGCCCATGTTGAAGGTGTGAATAACATGTACTGTTTGGCAAAATCCAGCAGTATAAGCCTTATCATGTGGGATTTTTCCAGGAGTTTGCAATGGTGAATCCTGAGTCTCTGGTTGCAGTGTGTATTACATTAAAGGAAAAGCACAGTGTTTCTCTATTGTAGAGAACTTCTCAGGTGGAGCTGCATCACATAGTACACTGCTTATTATGGTGTGAGGATTACCTCTGTCCTAGTCACTTGCGGTCCTTATAAAAAACACGGGTTCTTGTGCCTCACCTCAGTCTTTTCTCATCAGGATCTCTCGGGATGGATTCTGGAAATCTGCTTTTTTAATAAGCTCTGAAGGTGATTGTCATGCACAGGAAAGTTTGAGACACTGAGATTGAGCATTGGGCTTTTGAAGATTAGATTAACTAGTTTGTGTGATGTTTGGATTTGACATCTTATTTGTAAAAATGAGAGAGTTGGGGTAGATGAGTACTTTTAAAGCTTTTTAAAAAGTGGTTGAAATAAGCCTTTAGTTTTGGGCAACTACCTTAATTAAATCTGTTATACAAAACCAATAAAAGCAAACCTACTCTTGTTAAAGTGGGTGCAGGTAGTAGACGTGGCTTTTCGACTGTTTTGTCATCTCCTTGCTCTTGAAGTGGCCCCAGGTACACTTCTGTGGGAATCCACAGAACACTAAAGCCTGCCAGACTAGTTAATCACTAACAGTTTTCTTCTATTGCTGTGGTTTTATTCTGATAAAAGCATTGGCATTTTAGTTGTACAAATTAATAGATTAAAAAGTGAAGGACAATAAATGATAATAGAAGTAAGAACAAAGGTCTTTGTGAAGGCCTATCTTAAGGATCTTAAGTCATACTTAGGATAATTTAAGATGAATGAATAGTCTGTTACATGAAAATAGGGACAATTGTTAACAGTTTCTTATGCCAGGAAATTGGAATTACAGTAGATATGTAGAGAGAAGCTTAAGCTTCTTACTGTTTTCAGATGTTAAGAATTCTGCTAGAATGAGATGTGAAAAAATGATCTAGGAAAGATAACACTCTTAAGGCAATGGTTTCTGAAATTATTATTTGCAGGCCATGCTGTAGATTTTTTCTACATCTAAATACCATCTCTGTTACTGTATACATAGTATGCTGTATTTTCTTGAGTGCATTCACTTCTTTAAATTTCACCTCATGCTAAGCATGATTATGAAATCATGGGTTTTATATGCAATGTACAAGTTCTTAATACATGTTAATATAATTGTATAATTGTTAAAAGCTTTGTGCACTTAAAATCATCTTGTATACCACCACTTGTACACATTCCACACATGGGGTAATGGTTCCTAATCACTTCTACAAACCAAAAATGTTACAAAGACTCTTGAAAATCAATAGCTCATTAATTTTTTAATCTAGCTTTCACATTTTTATCTTTGAATGTTTTCAAATTTGTTAATGTGTTTTTTTTCTTACATTCTATTGGCACTTTACAAAAAAAAAAACATGAACTAAATTTTATGGTGCAGCATTATCACGTTGTAATACATTTTTTTTTTTTTTGCTCACTAGTTCTTACTGAAATTAAAAGAATATTCATAATGATGAAATTATGATTTTTAAGACTTAGAAAAGTAGTCATGATAACAAGCTTATTAAAGCAAATATATGATCCAATTGAACTATCCCATCTTATAAATTTAAAATATACTTAAATGTAATTAGTCATCAGAAATTGACCTTGTTCCTAAGAAGTCAGTGTTTTGTTTCTACTTTCTTTTGAATAATAGCTGAAGTCTGGGATCAGGAGTTTGACCCCGTCATGGTCATTCTTCGAACAGTTTACCGTAGAGACGTGCAGTCTGCAATGGACAGATATACAGCATTGTAAGTCTGTTATGCTAGTATAAAATGGATATTTTATATTTATGTAGAAAAACTTTAGTTATAACACAAATGTGATATGCAGTGATTAAAGTATACTCTCAATCTTTAGAGGAGAAAATAATACTTTAAGATTTAAAAAAATCTGCCATATATTTATGTTCTCAAGATCTTGATCCAAAATCTGATAAATATTATAATGTCACAAATAGACATTAAAAAAATAACAAACTTATTTAGTTGCTGTTTGACTGGTGGAATGCAAAACTTGGTTTTGTGTTGTTCTGCTTTCACACCAGTAGAGGAGGCACAAGTTAAGAGAATAAAATTATCTGATCTCAGAGATGATGGGTATCTACCAAAAGTTTGGTAATATTGCTGTGTTTTTCACAACTGGGAAAATAGCCAAAGAAAAATGAATTTTATTTGTAAATATTTAACAAAGTGGTTTAAAATGTTGATGATTGCAGAAAAAAGTTTTGAAGAATATCTTTTTAACGAAATATTCATTTTTGTTATTGTTATAGACTATTTTTTAATGTATTGTTTTCACCAATTTTTAAACCTTAATGTTATATTGCTGAACATCATATAATACCATGTTTTATCTGTGCTTTTCTTTTTTTATTAGGTTTTTTTTTAGTTTTTTTTGTTGTTGTTGAAGTTTTTATTTTAATTTACATATTTTTTTAAATTTGTATCCAAATAGCATATGGCACAGCAATGATTTCAGGAATAGATTTCTTAATGCCCCTTAACCATTTAGCCCATCTCCTCTCCCACAATCCCTCCAATAACCCTCTGTTTGTTCTCCATATTTAAGAGTCTCTTCTGTTTTGTCACCCTCCCTGTTTTTATATTATTTTTGCTTCCCTTCCCTTATGTTCATCTGCTTTGTATCTTAAAGCCCTAATATGAGTGAAGTCATATGATATTTGTCTTTTCTCTGACTGACTAATTTTGCTTAGCATAACACCCTCTAGTTTCAGCCACGTACTTGCAAATGGCAAGATTTCATTCCTTTTGATTGCTGAGTAATACTCCATTGCATATATACACTACATCTTCTTTATCCATTCATCCATTGATAGATATATGGACTCTTTCCATACTTTGGCTATTGTTAATAGTGCTGCTATAAACATGGGGGTGCATGTGTCCCTTCGAAACAGCATACCTGTACCCCTTGGATAAATACCTAGTAGGGCAATTGCTGGGTCGTAGGGTAGTTCTGTTTTTAATGTTTTGAGGAACCTCCATATTTTCCAGAGTGGCTGCACCAGTTTGCATTCCCACCAGCAGTGCAAAAGAGATTCTTTTTCTCTGCATCCTCACGAACATCTGTTGTTGCCTGAGTTGTTAATGTTAGCCATTCTGACAGGTGTGAGGTGGTATTTCATTGTGGTTTTGATTTGTATTTCCCTAATGATGAGTGATGTTGAGCATTTTTTCATGTGTCAGTTGGCCATCTGGATGTCTTCTTTGGAGAAGTGTCTATTCATGTCTTTTGTCCATTTCTTCACTGGATTATTTGTTTTTTGGGTGTTGAGTTTGATAAGTTCTTTATAGATTTTGGATACTAACCCTTTATCTGATATGTCATTTGCAAATATCTTCTCCCATTCTGTCAGTTGCCTTTTAGTTTTGCTGATTGTTTCCTTTGCTGTGCAGAAACTTTTTATTTTGATGAGGTCCCAATAGTTCATTTTTACTTTTGTTTCTCTTGCCTCTGGAGATGTGTTGAGCAAGAAATTGCTGTGGCCAAGGTCAAAGAGGTTTTTGCCTACTTTCTCCTTGAGGATTTTGATGACCTCCTGTCTTACATTTAGGTCTTTCATCCATTTTGAGTTTATTTTTGGGTATGGTGTAAGAAAGTGGTCCAGGTTCATTTTTCTGCATGTTGCTGTCCAGTTTTCCCAGCACCACTTGCTGAAGAGACTGTCTTTATTCCATTGTATATTCTTCCTGCTTTGTCAAAGATTAGTTGGCCATACGTTTGTGGGTCCATTTCTGGGTTCTCTATTCTGTTCCATTGATCTGAGTGTCTGTTGTTGTGCCATTATCTGTGCTTTTCTGAAGCATATGTTAAATATTTTAAAAACAATATTTATTTATTTATTTATTTATTTATTTATTTATTTATTTATTATTATTTTTAAAAATTTA